GTGGATCAACTGGGGAGTGTTCGTTGGGGTGCCGAAATTCGCTTTTCCCCCCTTTTTGTGTCTGTTGGTTTTATTGTTCGGATAGGTTTTATTATGCTTTTGTGAGCCGCCCAGAACTGTGATGTCCAAAATGGGCAGCCATGCGAGTCTTTTAAATAAACAAATAATTTTTAAAAAACGTATAGTGGCTTTGTATTCTTCCTGCTAGGTCCTGTTGAATTTTCTGCAAGCTGGCCAGAATCACTTTGGTTGAGTTGGGCAGCCCTGCAAATGTTTCTAATGCAGACATACACGATGCCTGCATGGAGGGTCCAGCGAGAAAGGGCAGACCATCTTTTGGTGCCTGCCGGGAGTAATGGGACTTGTAGTCTGTTGCATTTGGAAGATGCAAGGTTGAAGAAAATGGATTAGAGCGTGAAGCGTGACTTTGGTCTCTGTGGATTTTAACCATGCATTAGTGGGTGGGGGCAAAGGATCAAGAGAGAGAAGCCAGAGCGTAGGTAGCAGAGCAGTATGTTTAAAATGTACTTAAATATAAATAAACAGTAGATGCCAGTTACCCCAGGGCCTGGAACAGGGAAATGAATTCGTCTTAGCTGAACTGCATACTGATATTAAACAGCTAAACACATTCTGGAGAAGGTCCTAGCAAAAGAGAGATCCATTAATCAGCCTGAGAAAGAGCAGGGTAGCCCCAGTGCTTGCTTTCTTCTTCCTTCCCCAGACTTTTTCCTTGTATGTCACTGTGGCCGTTGAGAGTGTGAATTTACGCCGAGGTAGAGAGCTGAGTTAGTCCACGGTAGCTGAAAATCGGCAGCCGGGTAGCACCTTTTCTTATTAATACACTTTATTCAAAGGCATCAGCTGTCCTGAATCGGAAAAGAAGTTCTCAGACTCCTCCTGATTTTTGCAAAACCGTCAGCAACCCTTGTTTCAAAAGGTCAATAAATGGGACAAAATATAGTAGCAAACTAACAACCTAATATCATTTAAATCCTGCATCAGTCTAGCCCAGCGTTTCCCCACCTTGGCAGCTTGAAGATGTGTGGACTTCAACTCCCAGAATTCCCAGGCTGGCTGGGGAATTCTGGGAGTTGAAGTCCACAC